ATTTTGTATAATTGCTTATATGCAAAAATACATGTGGATACAATAAAAATGTATATATCTTGATGTATTTTGCCCCTAAAACATACATAGTGCTGAATACTAATAATTAATTCTGCTTCCATCATTAGGTCATTGGGTTAGTCTTTTAAGTATATATTTTCCTTATGATTTTTTAATGCTTACTGGCGTCATTTTGTAGATTTTTATCTCCAGAAACTTAGAAAATTTGAATTTATTTGGAAATTTTCCAGTTAATTTTCATACGTGTCTATAGTTTTCTTTTGTGTTAATAAAGTATCCTGTTTATTCTATTCTATGTTAATATATAAAATATTTGGATTTGTTCGTTTAGTTGGATAAATCACGCATTTACGTTATTTTATGGACTCGTTCATTGTAAAACTGAAGAGATGTATCGAATCTATGTAAAAATATGTGTGTTATTCATTCGAACAAACGAATTTTTTTCCGTACGCCATTTTAATTTTAAAATGCTGATAATTTTACATGCGAATCCTAGAATTTTAATTAATCTTATTCAATTACATGCCAGATAATTTACAATACACTCATCTGCACCTTTCCACATGATTATTAGATTCATTCTTCAATAGATTCACTTACGAAAGTGAATCTATTGAAAGGATTCGAACCCGGATCCATCACTATCACAAGAGAATCCTTACTGCGTATTTATTCAATCGATAATCTTAAGTAAAACCGACTAAAACTTTATTTTAAAAAATAGGATTTTATATTCTTATAAACTAATTTTAAGCGATTTAAGTTTTCACATTAAAAATGCAAATACAGGTATATATTTATTATACGAACACTGCACAAACAACGTTTAAAATGAAATCATATTTTACATATCAGTTACTTTTTATCATAGATACGTATACAGACATTTAAAAAAAAATGCTTTTTAAAAGTAAAATTAGAGAAAAATCTGAATAAAATATATTATTTTATCACGAAAAAACTCATTAAAATGTGGGAAAAAACAGTTATTACAGTTGCATTTTAGTGATCTCGATGATCTTTTTCTATGAATTTGTGATCATGCAACAATAGAAAAACCCATCTAGATACAAAAACTAAGCTTTTTACTTCACACCTAATTTCAAGGTCTTTTTTTTTTAAATTTTAAAGCATTAAATAACGTCACCTTAAGTATTTGTTATATCCTGGAGCACTTTGTCCAGACATTATTGTTTGTGAGCTTCGTTGGATGGCTATATAATTTTTCAGTGTATCACGTTCTTCTATCACTAGTGTAGATAATAACACACTTTACGTAAATCTTTTCTCGAACTTGTTTTTATGACCTTCCCAATGTAATTTTCGTAGAATAGTGATATCGTCATAATTATATTTCGAAGAAAAGATGTTTGAAAGAATAGAAAATTCTTCGTTTATTATTATTAAGAACAAAAAAAAAACAACAATAATAATAATAATGAGAAGAAGGGGGAGAAATCTTTAACGATATCTTCATTGCTTCGAGTTTAATATGTTGAAATAACACGCTTAGAAGCAATAGACCTGTTATTATTGTTTTGTTTGCCCTAAAAGACCAATTATACTTTATCAATAAAGGATACTTTTGGTATAGAAAGAAGCTTAACTAAATCGCTTTTACTTTTAAAAAATTTGAAAAAAAAGAATCTTCTTCTGCAGCTTTTAAATAACTTAATGCTCTCTAATATAAATTTAAAGTTGTTTTTAATGTGATTTTATTGGTCCACCTGTAGTAAAATAAACTTTATTTACCAAAGTTTTCTTAAGAAAAAAAAATCATTTTAACACTTTTTTTTTGTTATATCAATTAGAAGTTGGCATTAAAAAGGCATTAAAAAATTCAGGATTTTTTTTTAAAAATGTTTCGGCTCCTTCTTAAATGTAATGAAGATTTTATAATTATTTAATTTCTTAATTAATAGACTCGTAAATTATTTAAATTGCAGATTTTTATGAAGTACTTCGATATTTAGTACTTTGCATTTTGTGTAATGCGTTTTATTATATTATAAAAATAAAAAAAAGTATTAATAGCGTTTAAAATCAAGCCGAAATCTATTATAATAATGCTAGTTAATGTCTATAATATAATTGAAATGCTAATTTATATTTTTATTTTAAATTTTAACATAGATTAGTAACTTGAGTCACACATTCATGTATAAAATAACGGTCTCAATTTCACGTGTACTGTATAATCTCTCGTTTTATCATTTAAAGATTTATTTTCACATGTACAGCTCTCATTTTCACACGTAAAGGCCTCATTTTTATCATGTACAGGTCTTATTTTCACATGTAAAGGTCTCATAATAAGCCACGCTTTCTATAAATCAGAGTAGAATCACGAAAATTTACTAATTGATTGTTTTAAAAGCCTTTTTAAAATATATATATATATATCTTTAATCTTTCAAATATTTTTTTTTTTGCTATTTATATTCGTCTGAATTTAGAAAATATAAACTTCGATTCATTGATAATAAAAAGTTTTTATCAATTGTATCCAACATATACTTTTATAAAGGAATCTTTTGTTGTTAGATTTAACTATAAAAGTAAATAAATCAAAATTTGGCTAATTATATAGGCCTATAAGTTGAATTTAAGCTAGTGAAGAGATGAAATGAAGCTCTATCAAGCCACAAATAAGAAGCCCACATCTAAAATACAAATACATTTAAAAAATATATGAATAAAATCAATAAAAATAGATTAATTTTCCACATTTATCAAAAGAAACTTTAATTTATATCACTTTTATATCATATTTTTTATACAAAATACTAAACTTTGGGGGGTTTTGTTTCTCTTTTATATATATAATAACAATGTTATCACAGGAAATAACGATTTAATATTATCATAAAACAGATATATTTATCTATTTATTTCATTACTTGCATTGTATCACAAAAATATGTTGCCTAACAACGCAATAAAGTAAATGGTAAATTTTATGTTAAATTAAACAACACCTACATACCTGTATATGCTATATGATAAATACCTTTGTTTTATTATTATTATTATTTCTTTATTAAGAAAAACTAAAAGAATTTTATTTTCTTTATTATTTAGAATTATATCTTATGATCTACAATCATATTAGAATATAGAGGAAGAATAAATATATCAGGTGAACATATTATTACACAATTTCTCACTGTCGTCCTGTCTGTCTGTCCTTCGCTAATCTCGAAAACAGAATGAGATAGATGAGAGTCGGAACTAGATATGTAAACCTTGGGGGAAGGATGTATTGCTAACAAGAAAAGTATGATGTACAGAAGCAAGACAATACTAATTTGAAGTGGAAAACATATATTTTAAATTAAATAAATTAACAATATAATATTTAAAATTTCAGCCCGACATCGTGACGTTGTCACAATAAAAATAATTGCTCGTATCTGTAAACTTTGCCTTCTTTATTTTATGGTTATTGGCACAGTTTGGTCTAAGTGGCAATTGACATTATTAGCATAGGGCCATATAATGTCAACCAAACTAAATTATAGAAATATCATTCTCATAGTCCAAAAATAACTTTTCTAAAGTAACATTATGATGTTTGAGTTTTAATTTAGTCATTTTTTTTTATAAAAGAGTATCTATTCAATTCAGTTCCATCCTTCCCAGTCATATTTACAGTGTTATGAATTAATTCTGATTTTATTTATTTATCAATTTAATTCTATAGAATAAATATAATAGTTCCGAAAGAATGGAAACAAAATTACCTGTAAGTTAAAAAAATAATAAATCGTATGAATATAATCGGTCCTCTACCAAATATGGAAAAGACAGAAACAAAAATATTTTAAGGAAAATTTATTAGAAACGTCGAAGATTACCTTATCGAAAGATTGGTTTAAAAAAAAAGTAAAAGTGAAGAAAAATGGATTTCTTCTTGTCTTCCATCAATCGTTCTTCAGACAACCATATTTTAACCAATCTTCTTTAAAATCTTTCAAGTTTTTTTTTAATCTTATATATTTGACAGAAGATCGCCTACGTTCATCAGCAATACTTTTTTTTTCTTTCCTTACTTAATTTTATCTTCTCCATCATTTCTCAGGGTCCTTATCGTCTCTATCATTATATTCATTAACGAATCATCCTTTATATGCAAATTTAGCACAAGCTGTTTCCTACATATTGAGACGACTCGATATACCTTCAACAAAACAACAACCAGTTGAATTTTTTTTTCTTTTTTTTTAAATTAACTCATATTTTATACGAAGTAAACACTTTGTTTATCCAAATAAATTATATACTACGAATTTATGTCAACCGGAACTATTTCAGCATTCTTTTGAATAATGTCTGAAGATGCGTGTCATCAACTTTCTCGTGTAATTCTTCACTCACCTGCGAATGTTGATTGAGATAAAGATTAAGACAACGGTAAATAATTTCATAGAATTTAACTCGTTCATATATTACGTAGTGTAATCCGGATTAAAATGTGATAGCTACTGATACCACGTTGCTATATTTATTTATTCTGTTGAGAAGTATCCGTTGGCATTAAAAATTTATCAGCTCTTGAACAGGCTTCTGTACTAGAAAATAATAATTTACTACTGTAGAAGTCTGCTCTATATTATCTAGTCCATACAGAAAAATGTATAATAAATTAATATTATTATTTAAATCTAAACACAATGAAATTTATAACATGCATAATAAATAAATGATATTACTAATATAATTAATGGGGTAAAATTTTTCAGGGTAAATAAAATATTTGGCATTTTAATTCTTCCCTCCCTCCCCTGAAAATTTTGACTATAAAGAACATACTTTGCTTGATTTATATATTTATTATTAATATAAGATTAAAATTATATATATTATATTCTTGAATTTATTTAATAATATATTACATTACAATAGAAATAATGCTAGTATTTATAAGTGTGCACAGATAAATATTCATGCTTATTCAGTTTTGTATTTGGTTACAGAAGTAATGAGGGTAATGGATGAAGAGTTGAAAAAAACTGCAGGTAGCCACCGAAAAAAAAAAAAAAAAATGGGACCTCTTTACAAGCGAGGCCTGAAGCGGACACTTCACCCACTTCATGGTAAATCCAGCCCCGGTTTTCATTATTTATATTTAATTTGAAATATTTTTTTGCAAAATATGACAAGGCGCAACATTTATAACATCCTCTCCGTTCGTAACAACATTAATAACACTGTTGTATCCTTTATTTAAAACTCAAATATTGAATATTTAAAGGAATATTTTTTTCTACTGTCGACAGTAGAAAAATATTCTTTTAGATTAGATTAAAAACAGTAACGATAAAATATATTTTTAAGTGGAAAAAAAATATGAAAATTTGACTTCAAACTATTGTATAAAACAATTATTTCTAAGGTATTTTACGATTTATAATATGTAAGCAACTAAAATAGTTTTAGGTCAAATGATTTTGCGTCACGTTGAAAAAGTCATATTTTAAGGTACGAAATAACCACGAAGCTATTTATTCCCACAGTGGAAGGAAGGAGAAAGCATCGTGACTTACTTTGCGCGTAGATTCGAAACGAGATTACCTGGATAGGGGGCGGTAGCTAAGCGAGATAATGACCTATATCTTGTCACGATCTACATTTCCTCCAAGGAAAACAACTGGCGTTAACTCACTTCAACTTATCAAATGCTAGCTATACTTTTATGCTAACAAACGAGACTTAAAAAAAAAAGACAAAAGAAGCACTTTTTTTTAATTTAACTTTTAATTCTTATACTAGCGTAGAAGTTGCGAGCTGTATAATAATCACTTTTAGTTGATTATTTAATTCTTAAAGTCGGCAAACGTATAAAGGGTCCTTTATTCATTCACGCCTTTTTATAGCTTCTCCACCCTCTTCACATTCTGACCGCACGTGCTTGGCGAAAAAGACGTTCCAGGTGGACCGCAGACAAGCTGGCGTCTTGTCCGGTTCTTCTAAGAAAGACTAGCTAACCCTATACGCCAACTGATATTGGGTGTGTGAGTGGCACCCTGTAACAACTTCACACAAATGCCTGACTAATAACATATGTAGTTCGCATCCTCCGCTCTTCTAACGATTTCTTGTATGCAGTAGTCGAAATACCGAAGCTAAACTCGATCGCTGGTGTGAATTCAATAATATATCTTGATCTCTAACGCCATAAATTAAAAAAAAAAAAAATTATATATGGAAGAGAAGATACTCTAATTTCAGTGTTACTATGATAACTCAATAGGAATTTTGTATACATTATAAGTATCGCTTTCAAAAGAATAATTTTGCAATTCACAACTGCAGCTAGTTTACTGCGATAACATCTGCATCACGCTATTTACGTGTTAAGAATAATAATATTTTGGCAATATTTCACGATGGAAATCGCATCTGTCAAATGTAGCAACATCAATTAGCCTTAAATGCTAAAACGCAAAGAGAAATTATAATAAGAAAAAAAAATCTACTTGAAGTAATTCATATGTTTTACTGAATTTTTATGTTTTTACTAATTTTTTTTTCTTCTTCTTCTTCTTTTGTAGCTTCTTTTATCTATTTTAAATACGTGGAGAAGCTTCCGTGTTACTCTCTACGAAACGAAAATATGATGAAAAATTATTATATATTATTAGCCTACTTTAAATTTAAAATATACGTAAAATTACTGCCTTAAAGGTAAAAAAAAATAAGATAAAAATCTATTATATATTTAACTTCTTAAATGAAGAAAATCGGCCTTAATGTATACTATATTAATTGCATATATGGGCAGTTGTATGTATGCAGTAACTGCATGAATACACATTTTTTCGCAGTAAAATTCTCCAAAAATATATATTAGCTTTGCCATATGTGCGAATGTATGGTGAAAATTACTATATTTAGTAATTTCTCAACATATTTTTTCAATACTTTAAATAATGATAAAATATAGATACAATTTACTGTGTAAAGCCTGCTTTAAACCGTACAAAATATAATGAGAAGGCTAATTTAAAGAAAAAAAAAAAAAATATGATGAGAAACCATTGTATTCGCTTTCGTAAATATCAAAGTATGTTGAACAGCTGCAGAAAATCGACCAGAAATAATATTAAAAGTTATATTCAATAGCAAGAAAAATGTACAAGAATGTATACATATTACTTCAATAAAAATATTCCTATAAATTTTTTTTTTCCACAATATTTCACCATTTAAAGCTAATTGAAGGCTATTTTAGTAAAGAAAATCTATGTCTATTCTAATATATGCAATATAAAAATCTATAATTTTAATTTATATATATATATATATATTTATGTACATAAATTGAAGTTATTTCGATTTTAACATTAGCTATTTAAGAGAGAAATTCTATTTGGGAAATGTAGTAAATGAAGAAAATGAGAGTTTCGGTCTATTATTAACTTCTTAGCAATGTCGTCAACCGAAATGCGAGTCCAGGTGGACGATGATGAGTCGGTATAGAGCCAAACTAGAAAAGACAAACTATTCTGGTGCCCGTGACTTAGAGCAGCTGTGCACGTTCTTCAACTCGAATTGAAGTTTAAAAGAAAAGGAAACTATCAGAAACATTTGTTTTTTTTCTTCTTCTTTCTTTTTACTTCTTTCCACTCGTTCCCTGTTGACGGTTGTGTCTTTTAATTAAGCATCAATGACAAATTTCACGCAAGTGTCGACGATAAAGATCGCTTATATGGGAGTGTCTGGCCTTTTGCCCTATAACGTATAACCATGTTTTTAAAAACGTTCCTTTAGTACCAAACCCTAAAATGGTTAGCGAGTTAGTAACTTAAAAGAATTGAGTTACACATATGAAAAAAAACGAGATATCGATTAATTTAAACGTTACCGCATCGTATTAAAAACATAAAAAATTGAATAGAAATGTAAAATTTTAAACAGTTTTTCACTTAAAAAATTTATCTCTGACGTCTTGATAGACAAAACGCTTTTATGTCAGCTACCGAATCTGAGAACTCGACGTCACGAACATTATAAATTAAACCGGTCACGTTTCGCACCTAGATGATAAAGATATGAAAGTTAGTTTCTTTTTAGAAGAAAGATAGAAACAAATCCAGTTTGTTACGCTTTCATGTGTAATGGATCACGAGAATTACCGATATCATTTTCCACCTGTCTAGAAACGGTTCAGATTTTAACAGGTGACGGTTTTGTTTTTTTTTTCTTTCTCTCGTCGTGTAGACGTTAACCCCATAATTTCTGTAAATTTGTTAAAGTAAAATAAAGAAGACGTTCATTTAAAATTCTTTTTTTCTTTCTTCTTCTTCTTCTTCTTCTTCCTCTTCTTCTCGAAACTTGTAAGCTGATAAGAGAATTGCGAAGACAAAATCCATTAATGGATAAAGATAAAAATTACGAAAAATTCGAAAGTTAGATTTAGTTACGCGTGACAAGCGATAATTATTCTCTTGCACATATTTTGTAGAAAATGTTTTTAACAAAAAAAAAATTGTATACATTATAAAATTATTAAGATTATATAAAGAAAAACAAGAATTTGAAATCGTTAAGACATCAGCCTCATGCTTCGAGTTCTTCGTTATTAGAGAAGATAGTTTTGGTTAGTAAATTTAATTTTTATTTTTATATTTTTTCAATACTATGCCATAAATAATATCTGGGTTGAGCAAAAATAAGATTGAAATAAGATAAGAAACTAATAAAAGTCTGTAACTGAATATAAATTAAGAACCCGAATAATGTTAGAAGTACTGTATATTTGGGTAAGATATCAAGTATAATTTCAGTGATCCATTTAAATTAAGTGAATTAAATTAAAATCTATATGTTCTGATTATCATACATGCTTACAGTTTGCTTACGAATGAAAGTATATAATGACAGTTCAGGCTTATATGAAAGAGGGATAACAGAGCCATTTTGCTTCAGTTCCAGAGCAATAAGCAAATATATATTTGTTAAATAGAAATATAGAAATATTTTCTAAAGTATTACAGTTAAGAACTTGGAATTAAAAAAAAATTCTCTTTGCATAAGTTTATTAATGTACTCTTACACATTTCGTGCATTAATTTTAAATATCTGAGGAAATTTTGTATATATTCTTGTATATAATCAATAGAAAAAACTGATATAAAATTAATAAATTCTTTATTTAATTTTAAAATATATAACAACAAAATGAGCCCTTATATATATATAAAACAAAAATTCCTAAGTGATAAGGCTTCATTCTATAAAATTGCCATACGTTAAATTCATGTTGCGGCTGTTATTATAACCCCACTTAAAAGATGTTTGAAGAGCATACTAATTTCCTATCCTAATTCGCTGCATTTATATTAAAATAGATTTACTAATATTCTCATTGAGTCATTTTATCCTTCATCAGATCACTCCTTATGTAGTATAATTAGGCTAACATTATTCCACCTGCCTGTGCAGGTAAGAGAGATTTTGCAGGCCTATCGTCTAGGTAACGTGCGCACCTGCCTTGGCACGTGTTTCCATTCGCCCTGACCAGTTTCACCTGCGCATATTTCCCATAGTTTAAGACGTTGGGAACGAAATCCCTAACCAGATGTTTAAGGGCTAACACCTGGTTGCCAAGTAGCACTGCCCTATTTTTGTTACTTCTATTTATCCTAACCGGGCGTTAGAACCAGGTGAAAGAGATCTTTTATAATTCACTATTACGTCTCCAAATACTAATAAAAAAAGATCTTCTTTGTATATAATTAAATATTTTTTTAAACAACTAATTCTGTCTGAAAATATATCTCAAAATTGTATTCAAATTTAAAAAAACACTGAATAAATTCATAGTTTTGTACTGTATTATGGCATATTATCAGTCCATCAGAGTATAATAAATGGGAGGTGAAAAGTATAATTCCTCTCAAACAATCAAAATTTTATTCTAAAACTAATTTCAGCATTTCTTTTTGTAAATTTATGGCTTAAATTGCCAGTAAAACTCGTCAAAGTAAAAGTATAGCCTATATAGGCCTATGTATACACATAATAATGACTTAAACTTCACGTAATGTCCATAAATAATTTGGCACCAATGCTTAATAATCGTACAATATATAATTATTGTTTATATAAAAATAAATTATGTCTGAAACGATTTTATCCATCACTAACGTTATTGTTTATTATTATTATTATTTTCGTTTGATATACGAACAACAATGAGCAATAACTTAATGATTTATAGTAGAAAAATTCGACAAGTTTATTAGATTTATGTAAATTTTATGAAATTATTTTCACATTAAATTTCCAGAAAAGTAAAATATATATATATATATATTTTTTTTTTTTAAATTTAAATGGAAGTTGTATATAAGTGCGTATAAAAGTAGGAATATATCGAGTTTCAAACATGTATGTAATGTATACGCACTTCCGAGTTATGAATCTTTTTTTTTTTATTTTTAAATTATAATAATTTCCGTTTCCGGTTATGGATCACTATGAGAAAAATAAGGAAAAGATTCATCGCGTGCAAATAACGAATTTTTTGATGCTAAAGGCTATTTTTCTATGTTAAAAACGCTCTTCGGATGGAGTAGATGTATAGGAGTTAATCACGGATACACGCAAACCTGTATAAGGATAAAATTTTAGAAATTAAATCGTATATAGAATATCTCAACAAGTGTTTAACCATAAGTCTTGTGGGTTCTTTTTATGGGCATACATTTTATTCCATAGAAAATACAGTTATATCGCGTTTAACTCGGGTAACCTCATAGCGAGTTCACGAAACTGAAGAATCAAGATTCCTCTTGAAAAATAAAGGGCCAATATGGCATTTTTTTTATATATAGAATTATATATTTTTTATTTGCTCGAGGAGTTTAAGAGGTGTGTATGTATATATATATATAAGTGCGAAGACAGCCGTTCGCAATTCAAAAAATGGGGGATAGTGTGGGAAAAGACGACCAGCTGCTTTCACAAGGTAAATTTTCCCCCTTTTGTTGTTTATCCCAATGCGGGTTCGTCCAAAGCAGATGTCTACCGTTCACCTGTAGTTACAAATACTGTAGGTGTGGGAATTATGGGATACAGATAGGGCCCGGTTCTAAATATCGGTTAAGACCACTAAACATATGTTTTTGGTCAAATGGTGTTTTTGAGGAAATGAGAAGTTTGCGACGTCACAGCTGCCGTTTCGTCACCTATATTTGGACTCCCGGCTGTGTTTACTTCCGTTTGAACTGGTCACGTCATCCTATACTTCCTATACTTCTAGGTTTTACTTTTAAAAGTCAATTTTACCTGGTGTATTGATGTTTAATCCGATCTTCACTTTCGACAATGAAAAATCGTGCTTCAAAACGATTTTTTGGGGGGGTTTGACCGCGGACGTAACGAAAATACCACATGACGAACCAAGACTGGAGGCACAAAAGATTATAATTGCTTCCGTCACGTACCTTGACACGCACTCTTACGCTGTTAGTGTGTCACAAAATAATTGCGTAAAAGTTATCTTGTTGCCAAAGGACAAATTGTTATTATCTTAAATCATTTAGAATCGATTTTATTTTTAATAATTCCTTCACATTTTCGTACTCTTTAAATGCATTTCAATTAATTAAAATGTTCATTTTTAACACTTTTAAATTGATCTTTTATTCAACAAAAATCTTATTACAGTAGTCTCATACAACGCGGGGAATTCATTATGCATTATAGGAAATCTCGTTATTGAAACCTGCATTATCACATGATATATAACACTCCTTGAATTGCTGTATTTATTCAACAAAAATCTTAATACAGTAGTCTCATACAACGCGGGGAATTCATTATGCATTATAGGAAATCTCGTTATTGAAACCTGCATTATCACATGATTTATGAGAGTTTAAACCTTGGCCTGCAAGTTGAAAAAAAACGTATACCTCTGATAGACAAAATTCAAGGGTGTTGCTTGCTTGCTTTATGGGACTCTACTGTATTTATCAATAAAAGTTTTAAAGTAATGTTTCATTGGTGCACCATGCAAATGTGTTCAGAGCATATGCTAGCCTACAAATTTTGTGAGAGATTCACTAGGTTTGTAAATATGAGCGTAATTTGTTAGNTTAATTATTTAATTTTTGGGGTTTTTCACAAATAGATTATAGAATACAGTATGGCATCGAAACGTCCCATAATCGATGGTGTAAGATTACGTTTTTCAATCACTTTTACGAATATAATTTATGGCAGTGGCGCGTTATCCTATGGGCAAAAAGTCTATTGCCTGAAGACCCCACCTACAGGATGGCCCCAAACAAATCTTTTATAAGACAACATTTTTCCCAAAAAATTTCCTCGAAGAAAAATCTCTGAAGTCAACACTGTACGTGGTGCCCCTTAATTCAAATTTGTTTGAATTAAGCTATAATAACATGCCACTGATTCGTGGAATTTTTTACTTGATCCCAGGGGAAAACAAATATCTCGTTTTTCTCCCCTCTGCGGATGTCCATGGTATTCACGTCTATTGATTCACTATTGCAAAGTAAATTTCGCAAAAAATTGATATTGATTGCTGCATTCAGTCAAAAAAAAACAAATTCATTCTGACGTAATAAATGAATTTTTCCTCTGTAAGAGCCATTTTGAGAAGAATTTGGGATTAAATTTTGGTTTAAAATGAGATATTTCTGGGTAATTGCTTCGATATTTAGATGAGTAAGGGTTTGAATTATCGATTTTAATTATACAAATTACTTATTCTGAAATTGGTAGAACACACGAGTTTTTATCCTTGTGAATTTTATATTGAGTAAATGATAAATTTTTAAAAGATATTAGAATATTTTCAGCAGCATAAAGAATTTGTCTTGGAGATATAATATATTGCACAGTTTTTGTACAAGAAATGTTGCCCCATTTGAGAACTACATGCTGTAAAATTAAAGTTACCAGATTTCTACAACTGAATTAAAGGACAGTTAAAAATGATTAATGCTACCACTCTCCAACTTTCACTCCACCCCGTCCCACTCCAAAAAAAGTACAATTGAATGATTTTTTAGTTAATAACTAAACATTTTCTCTTTATATATTTTAGAATTTGATTTAAAACTTATGATTTTCACGTTTACTATAAATATTTGCAAACTTTAATTTAAAATTTAAAATATTTAATAATAAAGCATACCTTTCTATGGGGAAGGATGTGATTTGATATATAAGGATCTACCATTATGAAAAACAGGCATTGAAAAATGAAGTTAATAATAGACAAATTGCATACTTTCTTGTTTCAATAAAGGATTAGGACAATTTATCTAAAATAAATGACATCTTGCAGCATTATGTAAAATATATAATTCCTATAACACGTTTTAATTTAACACTATATTAACTTTTTACATAATTGCCCTTTAAGCTACAGTCATGGTATGTAACTTTTATAATTAAATGAAATTGCAACAATTAATTAATAAGCTATTAGTTTTAGAAAATAAATAAATAAATAAATCTCTTGCAATTTCAAAAATTAAATTTCTAATAAATTTGGCTAAATCTTCGTAAAATTTTGGATAAAAAATATATAAGAATTAATTAGTTTAATTTTATATAATTCTTACATATATTCTCTTCTGGAAGAGCTATTATAAACATAATTTCTATGTGAAAAAAAAATTAATCAAACGTTCCTTTCTAATGTTTTTATGAGTTAAATTTGAGCTAAATTTTTTAAATATTAATTTTCATTCTTAAGAACTTCTATTAGCAATGACACTACGACAAATTAATCATTGAGGATTATAGCATTTCCCCCCTCTCCTCCTTCTTAATCCTATTTACAACATTCTGCCATTTCATCAAAGAAAATTAATGGATAAAAATAAAAATCTCATTTAGTAATGTTATGGTTCGTCTCGACTGTATCTGTAAATAAGTTTTCTAAAATTAAAATGTAATTAAAGAACGAACATCTGACACTGTCATTCAAAACAAGTTTTTAAAATAGAATCGTTTTTGAATGCGAGTTTACATTGTTTGATTAATAC